CTATTCTAGGTCCTCTGTACTCTCATACAAATTTTCTAATTAGCTTGTACAGTTCTACCATACACACACAAAATAAAGTCTGCTGGTGTGCATTTTGATTGGCATTGTGTTGCATTTATAGATCAATATGGGGAGAAGTGACCTCTTAGCAATATTGCGTTCTCTGGCCTGTGAACGCAGTATACAGTTCTCCTTTCTTTAAGTGGTCTTTTAAAAATTTTTTTTGCAAGATCTTTCCATTTTCATGTATAGATCTTGCACTTTATAAAATACATTTTATAATGTATTTTTGTATGTCAATCTTGTACTTTGGGCCTTTGTTTAAATCAGTAGTTTCAGTAGCTTTGTTGACAGAAAATGGTTTGGGTTCTTGGATTGTGCAGAAAGGAATTCAAGGCAAATCACAGTGCCTCACAGAAGAGACCATTAATTGAAATCTACTCAGTTTCAGAATAAGGCATCCTCAGAAAGCAAGAGGAGTGCGCTATCTTTGTTTTTTGTTGTTGGTGGTGGTGTGTGTGTGTGTGTGTGTGTGTGTGTGTGAGTGAGTGTGAGATAAGGTCTCCCTCTGTTGTTTAGGCTGGACTGCAGTAATGTGATCATAGCTCACTGTACCTTGACCCTCCCAGGCCAGGTGATACTTTCACTTCTGCCTCCTGAGTAGCTGGGACTACAGGCATGCACTACCATGCCCGGATAATTTTTGTATTTTTTGTAGAGATAGGGTTTCACTATATTGCCCAGGCTGGTTTTGAACTCCTGGGCTCAAGTGATCCACTCACCTCAGCCTCCCAAAGTGCTGGGATTATAGGCGTGAGCCACCATGCCCAGCCCATCTTAGTTTTATACTCTTCTTATATAGGGGTCTTATCTTTGTAAAGGCTAAGCTAAGCTATGTCTACGTGTGAGTGGGCTGACGGCATGGCAAAATTTACTATTCTGTTGATTTAAAGAAAATTATCCTTGTGTTTTTAGTGAATAAGTACATCAAAGCATAAATATAATTATCTTTAAATCAAATATTGTTATGGATATTGAGACATCTGGACTTTCCATTGTAAGATTGTGTCCTTTCAGGTACATTTAAGCTGTTTTCTCAACTGTAAACATCTTATGACTGTGGTTTGTGACTGGCAAGGAATGTCCCTGCTAGTTTTAAGATGGAGTTTATTTTAAAATGATGTCACCTTGGCTCTTCTGTGCTCTGATTTCTCTAACAGCTTTGTTATATATTTCTTAGGCTGGGTGCAGTGGCTCACAACTGTAATCCCAGCAACTTTGGGAGGCCAAAGCTAGCAGATCACTTGAGTCCAGGAGTTTGAGACCAGCTCCAGCAACACAGCAAGACCCTGTCTCTACTGAAAATTCAAGAGTTAGCCACGCATGGTGTTGTGCACCTGTAGTCCCAGCTACTCAGGACGCTGAGGTTGGGAGGTTTGCTTGAGCCCAGGAGATTAAGACTGTAGTGAGCCATGACCACACCACTGCAGTTGAGCCTGGGTGACAGGAGTGAGGCCCCGTCTCAAAAATAAATAAATAAATATTTCTTAAGATTTTTCTACGTAGACAATCATATCTTTTTGAATGAAGTCAGTTTTACTTCTTTTTGTTTGTTTTGGAGTTTTTTTGAGACAGGGACTCACTGTGTTACCCAGGCTAGAGTGCAATGGCATGATCGTGGCTCAGTATACCCAGGCTCAAGCACTCCTCCCACTTCAGCCCTCTGAGCTGTTTGACCTCCCTAAGTGCTGGGTTTATAGGCTTGAGCCACTGTACCTAGCCTACCTATTCCTTTTTAATCTCTGCCTTTAATTTCCTTTTCTTGTCTTATTGCCCTGGCTAGAATCTCCATTTCAGTGTTGAAAAGAAATGCTGGTAACAGACCCTCATCTTCTTCTTGAACTTAGGGGGAAAGCACTCAATCTTTTACCTTTAAGTATGATGTTAGCTGAGATTTTTTGCAGATCCTCTGCAGGAAAGTGTTTTTAATGGGCTATATTGCTGCCCAAATCTATTTGAGGCTTTTTAGGAAAAGAAGGGTAAATGGATATGGGGAAGGTACTTCTTTATGCATTCAGCTCTGTGTCTTATCTGTGTGATGCTTTATCTGGACACAGGCATATCTTTTTATTCAAAGAGTTAAGTATGGGATGTTGTTGATATTAAATGTGACCATGTGTGATCATGCATCTTTATAAACAGCATGCTTCGGAGGGGCAGGTTTTGCCAGGGAACTAACTCACTCTCAGTCCATTGGGAGGCAGTGTAGCCCATGGTTAGGGATGTGGGCTCAGATGCCTGGGTGCCCTGTTCCAACTCAGCTCTGCAACCCTGGGCAAGTTACTGAACATTTCTGTGTTGCAATTTCCTACCTATAAAATGAAGATCTTAATAAAATCTACTGCCACAGCTTCTGAAGACTTAATGAGCAAATACAATTAAGTGCTTAAAACACAGCCTGTTTTCTGGTGCATTTTTAAGGAGGACTTAGTTTGCATAAGGCCATATTTACATGCAGATTTTCAGTAGCAGGCTTACTGTCTGAAGCAAAGAACAACTATATCATTTTTTTATTCCTCTCCTGGAACTTCGTATTAAGGTTTTTTAAGATGAGAGGGTCGATTTCTACTGTTTTACAATATTGTTTGTATAATACATATATTTTAAAATCTTGTGCATTGCATGGGCAATTAGAGGGTTGTAATGGTTACCAACGATACTCTCGAAGTTAATGCTGTCTCTGTACTTGGAGGCCAAGCCAGAATTTGACCTTCTGATGTGTTCATTTTGACTACTAGACAACAGAATGGTGTGTAAAGCCTACACCGCTCCATCGGTCCATTGGGTATGAGGACCACTGTGAAGCCCCCAGTTGGCTTTAGCCTCTTATTTCCTACAAATCAATTCTAATTCAAGGGGACAGAAGCTTCTCAGTCAGTTGGTTTCCTGTTCTAGGAATGCTGCCTTTCCATCAGCATGCCCCAAGACCTGGGTGCTCTCCTTCCTGCCTGGGGTGGGTCTGAAGGTGGGGCCAGGGAGCCTCCTGCTAGCAGGGTTGTGGTTGCACTTGGCCTGCTCCAATGTCACACAGGAGCACCAAGATATTGACATATAAGGAAAAGCACTTAGGAGCTGGCTGGCAGGGCTTCAAGGGGGCTTTCCTCTTCACTTGAACTTGTTGTTTTTTTTTTTTTTTTTTTTTCCCCCTTTTTCCTCATACTCTTTGAGGAGTGCAGTCACAGCAAGCTCTGCACAGGACTTTTGGCAAGGTTTCCCAACTGAAGTCCCTTCTTCAGGCATTGTACAGCTAGTTGTCTGTCCCTGGTTTTCTTTTGATCAGGCCAGTGAAAAACTTACTCTACACATTGAGTTAAAAAAACTAATTAAAAAGTGCCTTTGATTCTATTTGTACACATCAGCACAGTGTTTTATTCTTCTCTGCTGCCCATGCAATGGTGGGGGATATTTGGTGCATGATTAGGAGATTAAACCATATTAATTGGGATTTCCTCATGGTGTCCTTTACAGTGGGATGAGTAGAGCTTCAGCATCTCCTTCTAGAACTTCCAGGAGTGTCTAGCCAGCTTTTGTCCTCCCCCTGCCAAGGTGTTCTCAGGCTGTTCCCTGAGAGTTGCATGCATGCGCCACACCCTTTCAGTTGTAATTGTGACACCAGTGCAGAGAGATATTGATTCAGGGAGCAGACATTATCCTTTCCCTTGATTGTCATGAGATGTCCCAGCTAGGTGTGGAACCCGAGGCGCCCATGACATTGTCCTCCACACTGTGCCTGCAGCCCCAGGTGATGTTGCTGAATTATACATGGGTATAGGCTTTCGGCAGCGCTGTTTTTCCACCAGAGCACAAAGCACTGTGTTATAGGAGGGATTTTACATGTGGATCTCTGGGCCCTGCAGAAACTACAGAGCTACAGGGAAGCAGGTCATTATTTAACTGAGAGAACCCATCAGGGTGTGAGTTTAGTACAGATGAGAAGCAGATACATTGACTGTAACTTTCTTTTTGAGTTATTTCCTTGAGCAAAAAAAAAAAAAAAAAAAAAAAAAAAATTTTTTTTTTAATTTTTTCCTAAAAAAAAAAAAAAAAAAAAAAAAAAAGCTAAGAGTTTAAATATTAAACCCATGCGGTTTTCAAAGCAAAGAAAGGCAAGAAGGAACAAAGAAAAGTCTTACAGGCCACATTTAACTCTCCTCTCTGGTCAGAAAAGAATCTGAGACCTTCAGCTCCTCCTAAATGACTGTAATTACTAGTTTTGTGGTTCGGTATCTTTCTGTTCTCTGTATCTTCTTCATTCTCATTTTACTCCAGTTATATTAATGTTTCCTCACTTCCCTTCAACTAAAACACAAAGCAAAGAAATAAGACTCCCTTCATTAGAGTGATTGAAAGATCATCTCACACAGAGTAGATGCAGAAAAGCTATCTGTCAGATGCATAAATGACATCCCTTCATTGTGGATCCTGTCTCCGGGTTTATGTTAATTCCTCACATACATCAAACATGGCAGCTACCCGGTGCCAATTCTTGAGACATAGAAGATGTTCACGAAATGCTTTGGAAACAAATGGAAACTCCTGACTGCAAAGGAAGGAAAGAGGGAAGGTGGGCTGGTTATGTTGAGGATTAGACTCAAGTAGTTCGCTCTGGTATTTTGAATTATTCAGGCAGTAAGTGACCCAATCAGGACAGCCTCACTTGATCTGTGATGCGTTCTCCCCTTCACGTGTTTCTCTAACTTGTGACCTCCATTAGTATAAATTAATGTAAGCATGGAAACAGGACTTGCTCTACACATATGACATTTATTCATCTAACAAGCAGTTTTTGCAGGTCACAGAGGCCAGCCTACAGAAGGTTCTGCACTGTGTCCATGCTTAATGTTGTACTGAACATTCGGATATTTGCCATCTGTCTTGCTACTAAGTTAGACTCTGTCACAATATCCTCAGTGGTGATTTTTCTTCTGTCGATTGGACAGGTGATGACCAAGAAGGAGGAGTTTTTCCATGCCTGTAACTCATGTCTGCACCACGTGGCTTCTCTGTCTCTGGCACACACTCACCGAGGTCAGTTGGTTCCTGTTGAATATTTGTAATTGAATAACTCAGGGGTCTGCAGGTCCCTGGAGACAGCTCTGCAGGGAAAGGGCAGTCTTTGTGTTGAATACAGGGCCCCAAATGACTTACAGAGATGTGAAGCTTGTGGTAAATCAACTTTCAGCTTACTAGAAACACTGACCATATGACACCCTCAAAGCCTGATGCTAAACCAGTTGGGAACCGCTCACTTAACACAACCTGACAATCACACACAGCACTTGAGAGGAGCCAGTTGGCAAAACGCCTGGGCCTCAGAAGTGGCCCTCTGCCCAACCACGATCTCATTCCTAAATGGGAGGGGTGTGCACACAGATAAAGTGAGGGCGTTTTAACAGGGGCCCTGCCTGAAGAATTTTAAGTACCAGAATTACTTAAACCTAATCCTCAGATTAGCAGGAAACTGGGTCAACCTTCTAAAGCAGTGGTTCTCAACCAGGGGCGATTTTGCAATGTTTCGATACTTGGCAATGTTTAGAGACATTTTTGGTTGTCACACTGAAAGGGGCAGTGCCACTGGTGTGTAGTGGATGGAGGCCAGGGATGCTGCTGAACATCCTACAGGGCACAGGGCACTGCCCTGCAACCAAAAATTATCCAGCCCCAAATGACAGTAATGGTGAGACCGAGAAACTTGAATATTCATTTTGGCTTCAGTAGACCAAAATAGCAAAATAAAATGAAACACTTAAAACCAAGTGAGATTCATGACAGCTTATCATTGAAATTATTGTTTAATTTCAAGAATCCTCTTTTTGTTTATCATCATGTCCTGATTGCGTGGGGGGAAAGTGTTAAAAGAGAAAGGCCAGGCATTCGCCGAGTTGATAGCTTTATGGGATTTTCAGCACACTGAGTCTCTGCTGGCCCTGGGAGGGCTGGGTTTGGTCTCTCCACAGCTTGCATCTCAGGCTCCATCTCATGGGGTGGAGTTGGGGGCTCCTCAGTGGGGTCAGGGCAGGTGTTATGGCCAGGAACCTAGGAACGTGCCTGCATCCAACACAACTTCCCAGCCTCGCCATCTCCCTTCCTCCCTAACTGGGAGGTCCCAAAAGTGCCTGTGATTCAGTGCCATGTGACTATAGATGCAGGAAGGTATGGGAGCCTTTCTAAGAGCACTGATCAGAGCTGGATTGAAATGGGTGGTTTGGGCTCAGACTGAGCCCAGCTTCTTCCTTCCTTCTAAGGACCAGCTTTTGGGACCTTGCACCTTTGGATGAGCCTCCTAACAGAGGGCTCTGGAGTAAATGTGCTGAGAGCACAGGTTTCTCATAGGGACGGGAAGCAGGGGGTTCACGGGACTACCGCCCCAGCGACTGGTCTCTTCACACAGTGACCACACTCTGCAATGACCATGACCACATTAGCCTTCCTGATTCTGATTGAGTTCCACTTTCTGCTTCCTGGGACATGGAGGGAAGCAAGGAGAGGGACCAGAAGCATCAGGGACAGGGTGAAAGTTTCCCTCCCTTATGGGTCACGAAGGCACAGGATTGGGTTCCCTCATTTACAGACTCAAAAATTTTAATTTATTGCCCACCCACAGTATACTAGGCTTAAGGAAACTGACTTATCGTAATTGAACTCAAAAGTAAGTAGTATATAAATCTGAATGCCAGTTTATTCATCAGAAATAAAATCCAACACCAAGGCATCAGTACATGCCCTATCTGTTCTATGGGCATATCTTCAGATAGAATTCAATTATAATTAGGAGGTTGCAGCAGGTCACACTATCAGGACAGCTCATGCCCTCAGGCCTGACTGGAGATCTGAGTGACCCCTGTGACCTGCTCCAGACCCTGGAGCTTGGAGGGTGTGTACTTCCCTGGAGTATCTTGATGCACACAGCATCAACCTCACTCCTTTAAGAAATTATTGTAAACCATGCTTCTTCTGTTGGTGGGTTATTTCTTCAGATTTGCTGATCAGGCTGAAACATGTCTGGGGCATGAAACAGCACTCGAGACACCCTGATTGAAGGCGAGTGTGTCTCGGGCCTTCTCATTCACTGTGAGTAGACTCATGCTGGTTTCACTCTCAGGGGTGTTTTGGCCCAAGCTCCTCCCTCTGGGCCTTTGTGTACTGACCACAAATATCATCCTTCCAGGGACATGAGAATGAACTATATGGGCTCCAGGTAAAAACCTTCTAAATATTCAGAGAAGTGATTATGTTTGAAAAGGGGGGAGGAAGTCAAAGAATCACTCCACAATTAACTTCACCTTAGAAACATGATAGTTCAGGCTGCACAGCCAGGTTGCTGAGAGCATAATGGAGTTTAGTGAGGACTGAGGATGTGGGCTCTGGAGTCAGGTCACCGGGTTCTGATCCTGGCTTTACTTCTGTCAGATGTGTGACTGTGAGTGAGTTACACACCCTCTCTAAGTTTCAGTTTTTTCCTCATTTACAAAATGTAGAGAACATGATATTTACCTCATGAGCACAACACCCCAAAGCTCTTACCTTTGTATCTGGCTCATTGTTAGTGTTTAATAAAACCTTTTTTGTTACTGCTGATCACTACTCTATGAAAACCTTAGTTATCACCAAAGTAGAACATTTCAACCTTGTTCCTTAAAGTGAAGAAAAAGAGGAAAATGAAACAGATGAAGTCTGAATGTATGAGATCTTCACACCAGGAGGAAATATCAAGGATTCGATGATGCCACAGTACAAAATAAATCCAGATAAACTCTGAACCTTTTATTGGTGCATAACCACAGTAGCACAAATGATTATTTTCAGGAAATTGGCTTCAGGTTCAGTGTCAGATAAAGAGGACTTAGAAGTATAAAGTAATGGAAGAAAAATCATAAGAATTAGTTTAATGACAGCCTTTAGAAGGCCCAGGAATGTTTTGAAATCGAGAAATCCATCTGTAATGAGGAGGTCTGTACAGATACAGGACAGGCCCTAAAGATAAGGATGCACTGAACATAACACTAGCCAGTAAAATTTCACCAGCGTGTCATTACATTCAAATAGCATGCTACCCTCTGGCAGAGGCCTCCAGGGCATGGGAGAAAATATAAGGAGCCTATCTGTCTTCAGTGACCAGACCCGGATGTCGCCTTTGAAGCCTTTCAAAGGAAGAGAGCATAGGAAGGAAGAGAAGGATCAGTCCGTTAAAGCACAGTCTTAACGTCACCTCAGATGACAATGAACTCAGAATTTGTCCATTTTTATTAGGAACAAATGGAAACAAGCCTTCTGGCATCTGTCTCCATTTGTCACCTGAAGACTAGGGAAAACCATGTTTGAAATAAAAACATTAAGCAGTCTCTAGTGGTTTCTGTAGTGGGATATAACTATTACAATGAAAAATTGTTAGTTTTCTGTGATACACATTTTTATCTTGCCCTAGAAAGAGCAGTTCTGAAGGTTGGTGCTGTCTGAACCCCTAAGGTTGTACCAATCGTAAACAAAAAAAGGAGAAAGGAGGCACTTTTAGTAAAGAAATTACATCCACCACTTTCCAGCTCTGTGCAGAATTGTCTCTTGCTTTTCTCATTCTCGAAGCTTGTGAGTAGTTTTCATTATGCAGCAGAAAGTCCCCTTTCTGGTTTTTAACAAAGTGACTAATAATTTAGAATGTTCACATTAAGAGCAGGCTGTAATTATAATTAGAATATATAATAATGTGAATTTCTGCCTATTGGGGATTAATTTCAGACTCCTCTCAAGGATATATTTGTTTTGAAACAAGACTTTCTTTGTTAATAAAAACATGATCGCATGCATTATTAAAGCATTATTTCTGTATTTTATCCATTAGTGCTTGTTCCAATATTCTTTCTGGGATCAGCTGGGGCTATTCTTTATATAAACAACATTCACCTTGATTTAGTTTTGGCTTTGGCATTCATCTTCTAGGAAATTATAGGATTATCCCTGCCACCTCCTTGAATGTGCATTGCATTATGTGAGCTCAGATAAACAAAATGCTCAACATCAACCACTAGTCCTGTGTAAATCTAGGTACATGCACCCTTTTACTCAACTAAACCCAAGATTGTGGAGGACAAACCCGAGTTGAGGTAGAACCAGAAGTTGCAAGTCAACACTTCTCATTCTTTGACTATTGGGTTTCTGTGGTGTTTTTCTGTTACTTCTGGAGGTGGAGGCCTGGAGGGGAGGGGAAGAGTGGGAGGACCAGAGATGCTAGTTGGCTATGACACCTGTGTGCCTTCCTCTCCCCCAGTACCCATCTGCTGGTGTGTCTAGCTTTAGAGCAGTCTCGTATGGCCCCACACAAGTGGCCTGAGGGAGGGAGGGAGCCTTGGGCACCACTGCTGCTGCTTCTGCCCCTGTCTTTGTCTAGCACCCATTAAATATGTGGGCAGTGGAAGCCAGTGAGAAGGTCTGTTGAGCCAAGAATAGGCAGATGGAATTCACTGCTGGATCTCAGTAGACTCAGCATCTCAGAGGCCCCAACATTGGGGAAGGGAAGGAATGTCCCCTGGCTTCATCATCTCTACCTCAATCACACGGCTGAATCTTAGGCCTACGAGCAGTGGCTGTGGGCAAAAGGTGAGCCTAGGAGTTGAGGGTCACCATTTCACAGAGCGTGTGATGGCCGGGAGCAGCCTGGGGAGTCAAGGGAGTTCAGGGACACTGGGTCTCTGAAGTTTGAGGTCTGGAAATCCAGGAGCTGGCAGGACATGGAGGACCCCAAAGTGATAACTCACCTGACTACACTCAAGCACAGTATTGCTTCGAGGGAGAGAGATGAAGGTGATGGCCGATTGGAAGTCTGAGGGATGTGCCTGGTGAAACAGAGACTGGCAGAAGTAGGCACATGGAGGTTCCTTGTGCTAATATCAAGGAGGGCTCTTAGACAAAAAACATGAGGACATTTGACTGCATGGAAGCACTGTAGTATGCAAAAATTTGCCAAGTATCACGGCTCATTGGCCAAGAGACATGGGAAGAGAAGGCTGAAGAACGCAGAGCACCCAGCAGGATAG